TCTCTCTCTCTCTCTCTCTCTCTCTCTCTCTCTCTCTCTCTCTCTCTGGGTATTGGAGATCAAACCCATGGCCTTCACACTGAGCTAAATTGCACCCCCTTTGTAAATTTTGTGACAGGGTCTGGCTAAGCCTCTAAGTTCTAATCCTCCTGCCTCAGCCTTCTGGAGTGCTAGGGATGCCAGCATATGCCATCCTCCCCCAGCTGAAGGTTCCATTTCTTAATGATTTTTTTTCTGAAGATCACACTGGGTAGAGGTAGAGTTCATCTCTCCAGGATCATCCTCCTCCTTTGCAATTTCTTAAGGCATTTAGAGAAGGGTGGCTCCAGAAATACCAAGAGAAATAGGCACCAGAAAGCCAGTTTCATTCTGTATGTGCTTGTGGCTGCTGAACAATCCATCACAGCTGATTGCCCTGACCAACTCCTTCACTGTCAGTCCCTTCTTATTGTCAACCTTGCTCACTGTGGTGCAGGGGCTCTGTGCAGGTCCTCAGTCTACTCTTCTGTCCCAGAAGTTAGAGTGTGTTCACAGCTCCGGACCAGGAAAGGGCTCTCCCAGGGCCTGTGTCTGCTCTCTGGTCCTGGAGAGTCTTTGTCCAGAACCTTCTCTGTGCACATAAAGATACACAGGAGAGGCCCCATGCCTGTGTGCTGACTCCCAGCCTAAAGGCCAACTCTGGGGAGTGAGTTTGATCCTGTTCTAAAGCTGAGGCTCTCACAGTGTTGGACCCAGATCCTCAGCCCTCCTGCCCTCTGCCTCTGTTGTAACTCTCCCTCTCCTCCTTCTTCCTGGGGTTTCTAGCTTCTGTTCTGGCAAGTCCTATCAGCACAGAGGACAACAGCATTTGTAGTTAGAAAAAACCAATCAGCTTCTCCCCTCCTCTTCTTGTTTCTGTAAATTTGGCTGAGTCCCTTAACCCTTGTGAACCTTTACTCCCATCATTAGTAAATGGAGATAATTACGGCTCCCTGGGGAGTGGGGATGGTGGAGCAAAGATTAAATAAGATAGTGCAAGCATCACATTTGGTGCAGTGTCCAGCCACTGGGAAGTGGTCTGCAATTGGGAGCAGCTGTTCTTATTTCCTGCTTGCACTGGGCAGAAAATGCACCCTGGACAGTGGGGTGTTGAGGTGCCCTCGCGTGCTGAATCCCCAGCCTCTTGTCTCTGCTGTCCGGCATGGTCCCAGTTGTCTGGACTCGAAACCTCTTCCCTCTCATCTTTTCATGAGTCGTCTCCCCTGAGCCCGGTGATAGGGGAGAGACAGCACATTCGATTGTGCACACTGCCTTGGCGCTTCTAGGTTTGTTCCTGAGTTGAGGCTGAAGGGGAGAGGAAGGGGCTGTGCAACTGTGGCTTTATACATTCCTTCTGCCTTGCTTCTTTCTGAGAATACATTTGGTCCACCACACTCATCTACACCCTCCACATCATTCCAACTCGGAGAAGGTCAGTTTCAACATGGGAACAAGTTTAAATGCATGAGTGCACTGAGGCCTCTTGGTCATAAATGCTTTCTGGCAACCTCTGTCCCAGGCCTCTCCCCACCCTCACGCACTCCAGCACAACCCAG